AAATCACCCCCTAGGGGGGATGGCCACGCTGCAATCCCTTCTCCTCCATTCTCCTCTCGGGATCTTGGGCACGCACACATGTGCGCCCAGCATGAGTTTTAAGTCAATGGGCCCAGGATTTAAGCACAGTTGACTACATGGGACAGTGCAAAAGAAAGTGAAAAGTCACCCCCCAGGGGATGGCTATGCTGCATTCCCTTCTCTTTCATTCTCCTCCTGGGGTGCTGGGCATCCACATGCACTGGGCATGAGTTTCAAGCTGCCAGGTCCAGGACTTGAACCTTGGTTAGCCATGTGGGAGTCCAGTGCCCCAAACATCACACCACCTGCTGGGCCCTAAAATAAATTTTATATAAAAAGTAAGAGCACACAAAAAAATCTGTTGTCCATATACATTTATACACCTCTTTCCAGATTCTTATTTTGTTACATCAATCAATCTATTTATCTCTTTACACCATTACCACATTATCTTAATTACTGGAGCCTTATAACATCTTAAAATCAGATAGTGTTAAGTTCTCCAAATTGGGATTTTTTTTTCAGTATTATTTTGGCTTTTCTAGGTCATTTCCATATGATTTTTAGAATTAGCCTGACATTTTTTTTTTTTTTTTTAGATATTTCTGCTATAGGGCACATGCACTCACTGGAGAGACAGAAAGCAAGAAATCACCCCCTAGGGGGGATGGCCATGCCACAATCCCTTTTCCTCCATTCTCCTCTCAAGATTTGGGCATGTATACACACATGCCCAACGTGAGTTTCAAGTCATTGGTTCTGGGACTCGAACAGTGGTCAACTACATGGGAGTCCAGCAACACAACCATTATGCTAACTGCTGGTCAGCTGAATAAACTGGGAATAATTGACATCTCAACTCTGAGTCTTTTGACCCAAGGATATGGCATATCTCAAGATTTATTTAGATCTCCTTCAGTTTTCCTCAGCAATATTTTGTAGCTTTTAACGTATAGGACTTACAAATTCTTTGTTATAATTATTGCCAAATATTTAATTTTTTGAAACTATTTTAAAAGATATTGGTATTTTATATTATATGTCTGATTTTTCATTGCCAGTATTTCAAAGTAAAGTTGCCTTTTACATACTGATCTTGTATCCTGCAAGCTTTCTAAATTATTTTATTAATTCTAAGAGTTCTTTTGTAGACTCCACCAGATCTTCTACATAGATGATCAGGTTATCTGCAGATAAACACAATTTTTCTTCTTCATTTACAACCTAGATGCCTTAATTTCCTCTCTCACCTGGTTGTACTGGTCAGAGTTGTACATTTTTCATGTATTTTCTTTATTAGGTTAAGGAATTCTCTTTCTATTTTTAGTTTGCTGAGAGGTTTTATCAGAAATGGATGTTGGGACCAGCAGTTAGCATAATGGCTATGTTGCTGGACTCCCACGTAGTCAACCATGGTTTGCGTCCCGGACCCACGCCGGGCGCGTGTGCGTGCGTGCCCAAGATCCCGAGAGGAGAATGGAGGAGAAGGGATTGTGGCATGGCCATCCCCCCTGGGGGGTGATTTCTCACTTTCTGTCTCTCTGTCTTTCTGTCTGTCTGGCAAGCACATGCACCCTGTAGCAAAAACCTCTTAAAAAAAAAAAAAGAAATGGATATTGAAATTTTTTCAACATCTGTGTCTACTGAGATAATCACACAATTTTTCTTTTATGTTTGTTAATAAGGTGAATTACATGGAATGTTTTTCGAAGTTTAAACTTTGATTTCTTAGGCAATCTTCACTTGGTTATAGTGAATTTTTGAAAATATATTACTAGATATGTCAAGGTTTTGTTTGACATTTTTGCATCTATGTTCAAAAGGGATATTGGTCTGTAGGGTTTGGATTGATTCTTTTCTCTTTTTTTTTTGGTAATATGTTTTGTCTGGTTTTGGTATCAGAGTAATGATGGCCTCGAAGCATGAGTTATTGCACGCTCATCAATGTCCCAGAAAAGCTTATGTAGAATTGATACTATTATTCCCTTAAGTGTTTAGTAGAACTCACTGGTAAAGTCAAGTCGACCCAGAGTTTTCTTTGTATAAAAGTTTTTACCTACAAATTCAATTTTTAAAAAAAGAATTACTTTATCTAACTTTATTTACTTACTTTTTAAAAAAATTTGACCAGAGAGTGACAGAGCGAGAGCGAGAGTGAAAGAGAAAGAAAATGAGAAAGCAAGCCACCAGGTCCAGGACTCAAACTACAGTTAGCCATATGGGAGTCCAGCACCCTTAACCACTGCTACACCATCTGTTGGCCTCACAAATTCAATTTTTTAAAAGATACAGGAATATTCAATTTTCTATTTCCTTTTTGATGGGCTTTGGTATAAAGGTTTGTTCTTTGTCTTGTTTGTTGTTTTTTGTTTTGTTTTGTTTTGTTTTTAGTTTGCTGTAGGACATACGTGCTCACTGGAGAGAAACAGAGAGAGAGGAGAAGGGAAAGTGAGAAATCAATCCCCCCAAGGGGATGGCCACACCACAATCCCTTCTCCTCCATTCTCCTCTGGAGATTTTAGGTACACACTCACCCATGGTGATTTTTAAGCCACCAAGTCTGGGACTTGAACTGCACAGTCAGCGATGTGGGATTCAGTTGCCTTAACTTCCACAACATCTGCTGGCCCTGGTAGTTTGTGTACTTTGAAAGCATGTGTCCATTTCTCCTAAGCTGTCAAATGTATTTATTAGCACACAGTTGTTTTTTATATTCATTTATTATTATATTAATGTGTTAAAACAAGTCATCACCATATGCAATTTCATTCTTTGTCAATATGGTGAATTACCTGGAATAATTTTCAAACACTAAACCAAACTTTTATTCCTTGGACTAAAAGTTAGTCCTCCTGCACTTGGCCATCATAAATTTGTAAAAACATATTGTTGGATATTATTTGTGATAAATTCATGACATGTCAGTGTACTTTATTCAGATTCCTCGTGCTTGGGGTTCACTGAGATTTTTCAACCTGTAAAATTGTAGTTTTTATTAAAGTTGAAAAATTTTGTCCATTAATTCTTCAAATATTTCTCCTGTCTCCATTCTTCCTTCAGACACTTCAATTACACATATATTAGATCTCTTAAAGTTGTCCCACAACTTACAGATATTCTGTTCTCCTAAAAATCAAATGAGTAAACACACTAAGGCTAGCTGGTGGCATGGTTAAAATGGCTGGATTCTACATGGCTGACTTCATAGTTCAAGTGTGAGACCTGGCAGCTTGAAAAACACACTAGGCACATGTGCATACATGCCCAAAATCGAGAGAGGGAAATGGCGAAGGGATTGCAGCATGGCCATCCCCACTAGAAGGTGACTTCTCACTTTCCCTTTCTCTCTCTGTCTCTAGTGAGCTCATGTGCCCTATAACAACAAAAATCTATTGCATTTGATATGCAATCAGAATAGCAGAACAAATTGAACAATGTATGCATAACCAAGGCCCCATCTTACCAATGCAGGTGTCAAAACATATTAGTTGTAGGGCTTAATTGAAATGTATTAATTTTGTATCACAACAGATATGAAAAAATATGCTTTTTCACACAATATACTCCCATGGCCTCCCCCAAGAATCTGATATGGCCCCCATCCCTGAAGGGTGGCTCTCCAATAATTGGGAATCACTGGTTTATGGAAACTCAAAAGATTGCAATTCAAAGATGGAAACTGTTTATTTCATTAATTGATATTCTTGCCCTCATCCTTCAGTCACTTCAGAAGTTGCATTTAGTTTTCTCTAGTGCCCTGTGGGTTCCTTTCAATATGCTTCCAAACTGCTCTGGTGTCCTGGTTAGGTGGCATCCAAAAGGCCAAAACAAGACTCAAATTCAGTTTTTCACTGGTGTTGCGTGAGTCCTATCCCTGGAGCTAAATCCTATCAACTGGCATTTAACCTAGTCTTATCAATGACAGCTCGCTATAGACTTTCAACACCTATACTATACATCTGCTTGTGGCATGAGTTGGGGTCTACTTTTCTCTACTGCTGACTATGAATTTCAAGAGTCCTGGAAAAGATTGTGTGTGATTTGGGCACAGCTATTACATGGAGTACAAGGGAAGCTCTCATTCTTGTTTAGCAAGGTTGTGGCTTGATTTGCTCAACTTCTCAAATTTATGCACTACACAGAAAGCTTTTAAAAACTCATTAAAGTCAATGCTTCCATCTTTGTTTAAATCCATCGTGTTGAGGAGTTCATCAAGTTCGGAATCATCGATGCGAACATTGTAGTGAGAAGTGAAAAGTTTCCACATGGCACGAAATTCTCCTACAGAGATCAGGCCTAAGAGAATACAGGAGAAGGTTGTGAGAACTCATTTTAAAACCCATCCAAGGGAGGGGAGGGGAAGCCACACTGAATAGTAACAATTAGAAGCTCACTAACATGCCTGACCACCAAGACTTTGAAGGGAAATGGAAGAGTAAGATTATAAACATAAGAAACAATATGGCAGTTTCAACTACTAAGTGATCCTGAGGTTATTCTAAAACCAGAATGAGTAAAGAGTGAAGAAAGTGGAGGAGATTGTGATCTGTGGGACTAAATGTGGTATTGAAATTAGAAGATCTAGAATCTAAGGGTAGGGGACATAGAAGGAGGGCAGAAAGAAGAGCAATGCCAAAGCAGAAGGAAAAATACCCTGCGGATCAATAAGGTTGCAACCAGACTGCCTTTTTTATAGGTAACGATTTACTTGCATATATTGATTGATTTTTTTTTGATATCCAAAGGTCTCTGTGGTAGGGGATTACCTGATTTGTTTTTTAAGTTTGAAAATAATCACTGTGATTCAGAGGTAAGTAGAAAATGAGTTTTCATAGCCCTTAGTCCCCCAAAACAGAATCTGAACCCTAGAAATGATTTGTATTGCCAGGAGTAACTAAGATATTTAAATGAACAGTGAATTGTCTTTTCATCTGTTCTGGTGACTTCTAAAAGGAGGTATTCTACTTTGATCAACAGCTATATAGTGTTTTGTAGGATTTTATGATCTTCACTATGTTTGTGGCCAAACCAAAATAACATTAATATTAAACGCGAGTTTATTTCTTCCCCTCAAGTTTCATCAAGTTTGGATGAAGAATGAACTAGATAAAAGCAAGTTCTGATTTCAGAGAAACAGAATAGCTTTTGTTTTCTACTACTGAGACATTTACCTGAGTGATCAGAGTCGACGATATTGAATATGATTTGCAGGTCAGATCGGTATCGGTACAGAGTTTCAATTAGAGTAGACTGAACCTAAAATAAATAAGGCTTTTCTAAGTGTTAAAACATACAATTAGTGACATAGATCAATTTTGGCAAATGTAACTAACACAAAACATCATCACTAATTCAAATTATAGGATTTGGACAGAAATCCCAGAAGACGAGCCTTCCCTTGGAGGTCCAGTCCTCTTTAATCAATAAAAGATCCTGCTCTCGTGTCTGCCCTCTGTGTTCTTTAGGAGACTGGGGCAAAGTGAACAAGGCAGCAGTAAATAGCAGTAGCCAACATTTACGGAGAGCTTTATGTGGATTATTTTATTCAGTCCTCTCCTACAACCCTAAAGAACAGTATCAGAACTGTCACGGTGTCCATTTTACAGTGGAATTTGAATCTCAGCTCCCTGAAGCCAAGACCTGTGATTTTAGCCACGATGGCAAATTGCCTCTGAAAGGATGTCGAGCATCTCCATCCTGTGGAGATTTTTATCTCCAACCTGCACTTTTACTTCCCTCCTCTCTGCTCTTAACTTTTGATCTTCCCGGTAAACCACCACCCAAGTCCTAGGTCCAATCAGCTTTCAGCTCCATGTTGTAACGAACTGCTGATGAGTTGTTAACTAATAAGTATTGGGATCTGACAATTCTCCTTGGAGCATTCCTATTTTAATAAGGGATTCTGCATCCTGAAGTCTTCAGGGCATATTCTGGGTCATGCCATCAAGTCTACACACTTACATTCTCATAGGGAATATAACTAGTATTTTAAATGTAGAAAAGAATGGATTTCACATCTGTCCTTCTTAAAATAAAAACCCTATATTTGACATGGAGTTACCCGCAGAAGCTTTTTCTTCTTTCTTTCTTTTAGCTTATTCTAAAAATGTACACATTTCCTGAGCAAATCACAATGTATCTGGGAGATTCCCCTTCAACCTATGCAAAAAGCCACTCTCATCCATTAGATGATTCTATTTCCAAATTGTCAAAGGACAAAATTACTCTTATCGGTTATCCGAATGGTGTTTCACTCTATCCGGGCTTTAGATGGGTCTATGTTTCACTTACCTCTTTCATAGATTTCCCAATGCGGATGTCTTGGAAGCTGGACGCATAGTCGATATTTCCATTCTTGTCGATGTTTACCAGATGTGAACCCAGGGTTCTCCATGGTAAGTTCAGCCCCAAAACATTCTCCATGATTAAAGCCCACTGTGCCATAGAAAGTTTCCCTAATGACAACAAAAGCCCATATAATGTTTTTAGTATTTGATTTTAAAAAATCCAACCTTCTTAGGAGAGCCTGGGATTTTGTGGCCTGGGGCCCTACTGCTCTCCTTCATATCCTTGCAGGACAAATCTCCTTAATGATTTATCCTACCATGCTCATCAACCCTGTGAAAGGAACAACTAAAGAAAGTCTTTTTTTTTTTTTAAGAGATTTTTCTATAGGGCCTTAACCACCTCACCACCTGCTGGCTCTGAGAATATATATCTTTTTTTTAGAGAGAAATTTTTGCTATAGAGCATGTGTACTTGCTGCAGAGACAGAGAGGTAGAAAGCGAGAAATCATCCCCCAGGGGGGATGACCATGCTTCAATCCCTTCTCCTCCATTCTCCTCTTGGGATTTTGGGCACTCATGCACATGTGCCTGGTGTGTTTCAAGCCACTAGGTCTGAGATTTGAACCGTGGTCAGCCATGTTGAAGTCTAGTGACATAACCACTATGCCATCTGCTGGTCCTGAGAATTTACATCTTTTTTCTTTTTAAGAATTACTTTATTTAACTTTATTTATTTATTTTAATTTGACGAGAGAGACAGAGCAAGAGAGGGAGAGGGAAGGAAAGCGAGAAAGCAAGCCACCAGGTCTGGGACTCGAACCACAGTCAGCCATGTGGGAGTCCAGTGCCTTAACCACCACGCCACCTGCTGGCCCCATTGGTAATCCTTTACATTAAATTCCCCTGTTCAAATTACTGATGTGGTTTATATATCCTGAATAGAGTGACTATTACACTAACACAGATGCTTCTCAACTTACAATTGGCTTGTGTCCCAATAAACTCATTGTAAGTTGATAATCCTAAGTAAAAAAAATAATAATAATTTAATACACTTAATATACCAAACATCACAGCTTAGCCTAGCCTACCTTAAATGTGCTCAGAACACTCACATTACCTTACAGTTGGACAAAATTTTCTTCCAAAGCCTACTCTAAAATAAAGTGCTGAGTATCTCGTGTGATGTATTGAATTCGGCACACTGTACAGCATCATTTGTTGACCCTCATGACAGCATGGTCATTGTGGAGCTGTGGCTTCATTCCTCCTTAAATGCCTCGTTTCAATATCTGCTTCCATCATCACACTGCTTTCTCCATGGTCTCTTCCTGTATCCCTCTCTTACAAGGTCTGTTGTGATTATATCAGGCCCGTTTAGATAAAGCAAGTACCCTGCCTAGGTTAAGGTCCTTATGGTAATCAAATTCACAATATCCCTTTTGCTACCTAAGGTCCTATTCACAGATTCTGTGGATTAGGATGTGGACATCTTGAGGGGTGGGGCACTGTTCAGTCCACCACAGCGTCTTCCTCATATTACTAATCTGTGAAGGAAGGCTTTCAACATTTCTCTATCAAGTATACTTGATAGATATTTTTTATGAGGTAAGGAAAATCACTTTAAACTTTTCTGATGTTTGTTAAAACTATGAACTCATTGGGATAGTATCTATGTCTCTGAAATGGGGACAATTCAGCAAGCTGGTGAACAAGTCTAAGAATTTTCCAGCTCTAGAAACAAAATGCCAGATGATTTCTAAGACCTGCATGTGATATTTTAAAAATGCAATACAAAGTAACCATTGATTTGGGAAAAAAAATAAAGTGGGTAAATAAAACCCTGGGGTGGAAAAAAAATCTATAAAACCAAGGTGAAATACATCAAATAATTCTTTCTGATTTTTTTAAAAAGAATTATTTATTTATTTAATTCCATTTGTTGTTGTTATTATTAGTATTTTAATTTGACCAGAGAGAGAAAGGGAAAGGGAGAAAGCAAGCCGCCAGGTCTGGGACTCGAACTGCAGTTGGCCAT